ATTTTTAAAATATATTTTTATTGATTCCAGAGAGGAAGGGAGAGGGAGAGAGAGAGAGAAACATCAGTGATGAGAGGGAATCATGGATCGGCTGCCTCCTGCAGGCCCCACACTGGGGATCGAGCCCGCAACCTGGGCCTGTGCCCTAACTAAGAATCGAACCGTGACCTCCTGGTTCATAGGTCGATGCTAACCACTGAGCAACACCAGCCCCATTTCATCCCCCCCCCCACCAAGGCCTCCCCAGAAGCCGGCGACCCGCACACACTCATTCTTCTCCCCACAGCCCTCATCCTTGTCACGTCTGGGGCTGCCCCTCGTGCGGAAGGTCCTGCCATTCCTCCCACCCTCACCCACCAGGACCCGCCCCCCCCATGACCCCCATCCTCTGCCGTTGTCTGTGACGTGGTCACGTCCTCCTCACGGGTCTGTCCCCCCCAGAAGGACGCTGTGAGCTCCCTGCAGGCCACATCCGCGTGGACCCGGCTCCTGCCTCCTCCCCCGTCGCCCCGGCCACGGCCCCGCGGTACCTGCTGGAAGCTCTCCCGCAGGTGGCTCTGGTCCTCCGAGTGGCAGAATTCCAGGATGTCCTTCCCCAGCAGGTCCTGAGGGAGGAGAGACGCTTTCGTAAGCCCGGGCCCCTCTTGTGTCCCTGTGAGTCCTGGCTGGTGTGGCTCAGTGGATAGAGCCTCGGCCTGCGGACCGAAGGGTCCCGGGTTCGATTCCCGGTCAAGGGCACGGGCCTCGGTGGCAGGCTCCTCCCCGGCCCGGGCCCTGGTCGGGGCGCGTGTAGGATGTAACCCATGGATGTGTCTCTCTCACATCGATGTTTCTCTCTGCCTCTCCCTCTCTCTTCCACTCTCTCGACAAATCAGGGGGGAAATATCCTCGGGGGAGGATGGACAAAAAGAAAACAACAGACATTATGGCTGTGAGAGCCGCGCTCACTTCCACCCCCCCCCACCCCTCACCCCGTCTCGAGCTCACGCCAGGATGTTGGGGGAAAGTCGGTGAGCGTCACCTACCCCAGCGCCACCCCGAAGCCGGCTGCTGGACCCCAACCCCGGGCCCTCTGGCCTCACCCACCCCGACGGCTCACTTCGCTACGTCCCCGGGCCCGCGGGGTCGGAATGCATTTTTATTTTAATTTTATTTTAAGATTTAGAATAACCCCCTTATTTTGTTTATTCATTTTTTATTTATTGTCCATCCTCCCCCGAGGATATTTCCCCCTGATTTGTAGAGAGAGTGAAAGAGAGAGGGAGAGGCAGAGAGAAACATCGATGTGAGAGAGACACATCCATGGGTTGCCTCCTGCACGCGCCCCGACCAAGACCCGGGCCGGGGAGGATCCTGCCACCGAGGTCCGTGCCCTTGACCGGAATCGAACCCGGGACCCTT